CCTGTATTTTGCCCTGGACATGGGCGACAACTCCTCGCTTTTGTCCAAAGCCATCACAGGCGCAGCAAAACAAGGTTTTCTTGTCGCGCCAAAGTCGTCATCGGTAGGACGACAGCAGACATCTGGAGGTTTGAGACGGAGAGGGTTGCTGCTGGGGTTTCCCAGAGCTTGCATCTGACGTGCAGGCTCCCTTCTGGTCGCAGTCTTCCTGTCAATGATTTGTTGGATCGTGGGAACTACCAAGGCTCGGCTGCAGGATTTACTGACATTTTCGGCAAGCCTCAGAGACGCTAGACGCAAGTTCAACACACTCACAGAAAGTCAAGTTGAAGCTCCGAGAAGTCTGCGCTGCCCCGGAGGTCTTCAGGGTTCTCCCCTGTGTGGGTCAGGAGGTGAACAGCTGCACTCCGCGGGAGCCCGCGTCGGCCGTCTGATTTGGGAAGCCCTTACAGGTTTTAGGATCAAGGTTTTTGAGGCTTTAGGACTTAGTAAGTCTTTTGTTTAGGGTTTAGGGGCAGCTTCTGGGTATCGGCCATGGGTTTAGGGATGGCTTTTGGGCTACAGCGATCGTCCGAACCTCAAGGCTTCCCGAGCTCCAGGGAAGACTTGGAGGGTGCCCCACGTGGTGTAGTTCTCCAAAATAGGGTCCTTTTGGGGGCTTCTATTTCATAAGGGTGCTGTACTATATTCTTGGGGACCTAAAAAGGGACTCTAATTTAGAGAACTACCCACGTTTCTGTACGGGCACTAAAGCTCTATACCGAATCCTACCCAAACCTGCAGAGCTCAGGTGGATGGAGACCGTGGAGATGGTTTGCGCCCGGAGCTGAGCGACGCCTGTTTTCTTTTCCGCAGGATCAGTCCTTTTGGGCATGTTGCCGGACAGCTTCAACAAGTCTGCGGTGAGGAGCTGTCTTTATAAAGCATGGATAGGTGGAATCATTGAAGTACTGATCTTTCGTACGTTTCTTTCTCTTTGTCTCGTAGTCTGTCTCTTGTATCAGAACTTGGTCATAGGATGCAAGGTTTTGTCGGTCGCCTAGCGCACGTAAGTCTTGGCAGTCGCTGGTGTCGGCATCCATCGAGCTGACGCCGTGGTTCTAGATCACGCAGACGTTTCAGTGAGAGGCATGAATTGCCCAAGTCCGCTTGTCCAGGCCGTACCGTAGGCAACTGAAGTTATCTGAAGTTCAAAGGCCCATAGGCTAGGGCGAGGGGTGCTTGGCCTCTTCGAATCGAGGCATCCCACGCTTCACCTTCAGGATTGGAAGCGGTTCTATGCTAGCTTTCCTCTTGTAGTGTCCGGTAAAAAGTAGCCCTCCATCCTGCGAGGTGTGGGTGTTCACGGCCGAGATTCTCCTCAGATTGATTTGTGTCGCGCAGGCAGGTTCTAAAGCAAGGTGCACCAGTACGTGCGGATGTCGGCAAACTGCCATACCTTGATCCCGGCCATCTTTTTTTTGGGCCTGCAGCAAGTCCGCTCCAGTGAATGAAATCACGTCGTCGGAGACTGCATCGAACTTTAGGGGAAAAAGGCCGAGCGCTTCCAAGGAAGTGATGCGGCAGAGAGAACCTTGAGCCTTGAAGAGTCTCGGGCTTTGAAGCAGAGAGCTCTTGTAGCAGCAGTAGGAAGCGTCAACTCCGGCGCAGACCCGCAGCGAGCTCCTAAACCAGCGGTACCTCATCGACGTGATTACCGAGCAAATCGAGCGTGATGCTCGGAGTGTTGGGTTGGGTTTATGGGGTTTAGAGTGTGGAATCTGACATGTAATTCGCCTTGATGACCATGCTTGTCCATGCTCACTTGCACTCCCAAATCTGATCACAAATCACCCCTGCTGTATTCTGACTGCGTTCATCACATGTAGACATCAAAATGCAGTACGTCCACCAAAGCATGGCTGCTCCACACATTCATTCAACCGTCCCCACCCGAAGCAGCAAGCAACAAGAGTATCTGGTTCTGCCTCCAATACCCCAAAGCCTGTTGCATTGGTATTGGCGAAGATATGAGGCTGCATTCTAATCCGTTCAACACTACATCGTTACATGTATTATGCTATGAAATGATTCACTACCGTGTGCTGATTTAACAGGTGCACGTATAATGCATGCATGCATGCATGTATGTATGTATGTATGTATGCATGTATGTATCGGTATCTGTACATAAATTATTACAGAACAATAACAATAACAATAATAATAATAGTTGTGTATATATATATGTATTTATTTATTTATTCATTTATGTACGCATATGTGTATGTATGCATGTGTGCATGCATGCAAATGTATGCATGTGCGCATGTACGCATGTATGCATGCATAGATGTATGCATGTATGCAGGTATGTATGTAGGGGTATGTAGGTATGTAGGCAGGCAGGCAGGTAGGAAGGTAGATAGGTAGGTAGGTAGGTAGGTAGGTAGGTAGGTAGGTAGGTATGTAAATATGTGAATCCGTAAGTTTGTATGTGTATATGCATATATATTTATATGTGTGTGTGTGCGTGCATATATCCAGACATATGTATACTAATACACTTATCTTAAGCGAAAATGTGTTGTAGTTAATGAATATGAGGGAGTAAGCAGTAGTGCAATGCGTGCACAGTCGAAGCACAGAGAAGTATACCTTTGCATTTGCATGGGGCCCACCTTTGTTTTGACCCCTAATCTTGTTTTCCACCCCTTCCCTTTTTGGACCCTATGTCTGTTGTTCTGACCCTCTGCTTGCTACGACCCCCAGCGACACCCCCCAAACCAGGGTTTTTTAGACCTCGAACATGTCTTGTCAACCCCGCACCTTGGTTTGTTTGGCCCCTCACCCTTCCAAACTGACCTCGTGGCCCTCGGCCCTGGAGTCCTAGGGCATGTCGCTCCCAAAATCCACCTTCCGGGACGTTCGCAGCCTTGCGTTTGTCTTGGCAAGTTCAGGCTGTCGCAGGAAACAATGATCTTTAGCTTTTTTTGAGAACGGCTAAGTTTTGCAACTGGTTTTAAGGCGTGCAGAACCACTTGGGCTGCATGCAGTTGGAGATTCCACGAGCCGTTCCGCACTGCCTCACCGGATTTCCGGCACATCCAACAGACTTCGTGTACATACATACATACATACATACATACATACATACATACAGGGAGCTATCTTTTTTTCATAAAATTCCAGAGTTTTCGTTGCGCCATGGTTCGGGAATAAAAGGCCAGATCTATCAGAGCCAAGCGCCCTATTGATCAAAGAGATGCGCGTGAATTATCAAGAACATGCGCGGGAATTATCAATCACATGTGCAGGTTAGGGCTTAGGGTCTAGGGTCCTTTTTCAAGGTTTAGGTAGGATTAAGGTTTTAGGCTTTTCACGTGTCAGAAAAATCGTTTCCATGCGCTTGAAAAGCCCCCCCCCTGTGCTTGACAATCCCGACCTTTTTCCATTAATCCGGCACAAATGCTTGATAACGGCGTTCCACGTGTTGAACCATGGTGCCTGAAACAACATCACCCCATACATACATGCGTGTGTACATACCTACATACATACATACATACACATGTACATGCATGCATGCAAACAAGCATGCATACGCACGCAAATTTGACAAACATAGAGCTACAGACATACAGACATATATACGCACATACGTACGTACATACAGACACATACATGCATACATGCATGTGTGTACAGGTGTAGCAATACCTAGCTGCTGTTTCCACATCATATGGCAACCATATGACACAAGGACCGACACAAGACGTAACACCACACAATGATACACCGAAGCACGTAGCTGTGTGCGTGAGATTATTGACCGGTGTCTAGGTGGAAGAAGTAGAGATGGCATATGTACAAATGTGTAGCAATGTACAATCCTATGTCAAACCGAGAAGTGCGATGGCAAGATCACATTGTTACGACCATTCACACTGAAGCTGTCAGGCCCGTAGGCCGTTCCAAGAAATAGTACGACAGACGATGCAGACGGATGCTTGCTCTTGACATCTCTTGACTATAACCTAACGGAATAATCCGGGAACAGAGACGCGGTTCCGAGACGATGCAGTCATCAAGGCTTGCTAGGGATCATCTACGTGGTGCTGGATATAAGTCCAAAGCCAAGCCTTGAGGTGGAATGCTCCACGGTCCGGCGCGCGTCGCTTCCTGGCATTCCTCTGTTCTATCCAGGCGGCGGCTGCGTGCAGGGATGCAGTAGCAATAATTGCAGCACAACATACCAGTTGTCGTTTTCACCATGCTCGTCATCATAGGCAGTATCATCATCTTCAGCAGCGGCATGAGTTTCATCATTTTCATCGTCATCATCCATGCATCCGTCCGCCCGTCCGACCGACCGCCCGTCCGCCCGTCCGACCGTCCGTCAATCCATCCATCCATCCATGCATCCATCCATCCATCTATCTATCCATCCGTTCATCCATCCATCCATCCATCCATCCATCCATCCATCCATCCATCCATCCATCCATCCATCCTCACCACCACCATCATCATCACCACCATCCTCAGCATCATCACGGTCATACTCGTACTATGTTCATCATGGACATGACGATCACCATTGTAGCACTGCGTTGTGCCAAGCTGTACCTCTTCTTGTAGCACAACATGTCTACCATCTCCCAAGTGATTGGTGCTTTCAGCGGAGTGTCAGCGGAGCCTGCGGGCCTTTTGAAGACGTCAAGGCTTGAACAGCGGCTCAGCAGTCCAAGTGGTGAGCTACCCTTTGGCACACCGGACGAAGTGGTCATCGTGGTAGCAGTACAACACTAGTAGTTGCTTTGTTACAGCTAGCAGCAGCAGTCAAGCGGATTTCTGTATTGAGGTCATCATAGTACGACAAGAGGATCATGCCGCTGAGAAAAGGCATTTGATCATACAGCAAGACCATGGCGCGCGGCGTCAACAGCGCTGCCTCGACCCGCCGCATGCTATGGAGGTGGATGTGCGTGTTGGGATGCTGCCTTGTCAATCCTTCCCAGGCCTTCTACGTGCTTCACGCCGCTGTTTCCCCTCTTGGCTGCCACCGTTTCGTCAAGAACAGAGGCCCTCCACGAGCGCGACGTCACCAACATCGGCTCGCTACGCCGGCTAAGACTATGCCTGAGGACAGGGCAGGGGGTGCTGACCCGATTGTATCTATCGAGTGTCTCGATGCTCTTGTACCACGTGCCGAGATTGCGAAGCTCAGTCGACAAAGGTCTGACATGCAAGGGGCGCTTCAGCTCTTATTTCACGGTAGTGTCTTTACGACTGTCGCTTGCTGCCGGCTGCCTTTGTATTCACCTGTCATGGGAATGGCGGTCGTGGCAGCATTTTTCTTCCATGGCCTCCATGAAACGGTGCACCAGACGGCATTCCGTTCTCGTTGGATCAACGTGCTGGTTGCGCATTTTTTGGGGTTCTTATGCATGCGGCCGGCCCGTCATTATTGGTACTACCACTTGGATCACCATCGATACACGGGCAATCCACAGCGCGATTCCGAATTGCAGCCAGGCTCTTTCCTGGATTTGGCCATTGATCGTCCGGCACAGTACCTGCTTTACCTCTCAGGTATACCCTTTTGGTTGGATGCCGCCTTCACCCTCCTGAGCCATGCCATCGGCCGCTGCCACGAAGCATACTTGAGGAATCAGAGGGCCTGCGATGAAGTGAAAGGCGAAGCACGGGCTTACCTCTTGGCTTACGGTCTCCTGGCCCTTTCTTGCGCCATGAGTCCTGGGATGGCTTGGGCGCTTTGGTACTTCTGGGTTTGCCCGGCTCTTCTTGCACAGCCCATTTTGAGGTTCTACTTGCTCGCTGAGCATCGTGGACGCAAACTTTCCACTAGAGTCTACGAGAACACGCGTACCACCTATACGAACTGGTTTTTTCGACGGCTGGCATGGTGCATGCCATATCACATGGAGCATCATGCCTGGCCTTCGATCCCCTTCTACAAACTCAGGGAGGCCAATCACTTGCTGCTTCGGGCTGCTCAGAAAGCCGGCGGGGATGATCTGCTCGAGAAGGGGGAAATCCATCCCGAGCTCAAAGGCAGCTCGAGACTCGGATACTTGGGCTTTAACCACCGCTACTGGATGCATCTGCTTCGCCGCCCAAACTCAGAAGACACGTGCGTATGTACATATATATATATATGTATGCACATGTATACAGGTCTAACAAGGTTTGCTCATCTAGACTGTTGTATTCAATCGTTTTGTTCATCTGCGTAAAGCTAGTTTAGTAGTTGTATGTATAGATTTGTTATGTCCACGCATAAATACATGTACATGTATACACACTAGAATACACACACACCCTCTCTCTCTCTATATATATATGTATCACACGCATATTATGTATATATATATATATGCACATGTACATGTACATGTAAATATATACATATACATATATATGTATATGTATATGTATATGTATATGTATATGTATATGTATGTGTATATGTATGTGTATGTGTCTGTGTATGTGTATGCATATAGATCTGTCTATTAAATACACACACATTATGAGCAGCATGGACATGTACACGCAGTGGCCCCCACGCCTGGAGGCTATTTGTGACGTTCTCTCCGTCATACCTTTCTGGGCCGGGCCCTCGTGGTTGAAGATGTCTGCCTTCCATTCCGACACGTTTTCGGGGCAGATTCTGCAAAGCGCTTTCCAGACAGCTCAGGGCCTTGCTTAAAAGCAGCAGCACAGCATCCGAAACACTACTAATCACTACCACCACCGCGGTCACCGCCATCGCTACTCCCAATAGCAAGACCCAGCGGCACCGCCGCCGCCGCCGCCAACAACAACAACAACAAAAACACCAACACCAACACCAACACCAACACCAACACCAACAACACCAGCAACAACAGCAACAACAGCAACAACAGCAACAGCAATGGCAACAGCAACAGCAACACAACAACAACACTAACCACGACCACGACAACCCCTACAGCCACGCCAACAACAACGACAACAACAACCACAACAACAACAACAGCATCAACAACAGCAGCAGCAACAACAACAACACCAACACCAACAGCAACAGCAACACCAACAGCAACAGCAACAGCAACAGCAACAACAACAACAACAACCACACCACAACCACAACGACAACGACAAAGACAACGACAATGACGACAAGAACAACAGCAGCAGCGCAGCAGCAACAACAACAACAGCAACAACAACAACAGCAGCAACAGCAACAACAGTAGCGGCAGCGGCAATGAAATCAACAGCACATACCTTAAGACGGACAGTTCCCACCTTTTAAGCAACAGCGCACACCTCGCCCAGGTCGAACTCATCCTTCAGCCAACTCAGGGTACTTCGGCCTATTCCCCAGCTGGCCTTGACACAGGTGATGAAGGGCTCCAGATCAGTCCGGCAGATGATGATTTAGATGACAGTGTTCGATATTTTCGTTCCAGTTAGTTACAGGTCCGAGGGCGCGGCAAAGTTGGCATGGACTGCTCGGCGCAGGGTTACCTGCCTGTCTCTTGCAGGTTTGCTTACCGAGCTGTAGATGAGTGTGGATGGCATGGTCTGAGAAAGCCCGGCCGACACAAGCTTAAACCTCGGGCACAGAGCCGAGCTCGACGGCATCAGAATTCACCTCCATGCTTGCAGCAAAGTTGTTGTGGCTCAGAGACCGACAGGGTTGCCTGAGCCTCTTCTTGCCGGCCATGGGCAAGTGCTGCAACGATCTTGGCTCCAGCCCGACCCTGCAGCTCCTCATCATCATCTCCTTGGCGGCTCGGGCTTCTGACTTGATGAACTTTTCTGGTGTAGTTCACATCTTACAGAGGTTGGAATCAGTTTGCTATGGCTGTTCCTTGCCAAAGAGAGGTGGTCTATGCCTTCGTCACCGTGGTCAACATCGTGATCGATTTTCTTGGGCAAGAATATGAGCTTCCGTACGACGTCTTGAACCCGAGTATTTCGTTGCTGATGCCCCCTGGCAATTTGCAATGTGGCTATTTTTGCTAGAAGGACCGCTCAACCGGCTAGTCACTACGACGAACCAAATCTCTTGTTGTTTGCTCAATACCACCGCGAGGCTAGGCATCTTCCTGGTATTTTGGCTGACATGCTGCTCCCGATGCTGTGCGCCCTGCTTCTGTGGACCCGAGATGCCCGATGTTCCTGCCGGCTGCATGTGCCAACAGTGTGGAGGCACAGCGGTTTCATTGAAGTGATGTGCAGGAGCAGCAGTAGCTCCACACAGTTGCTCGTCAAGCAAAAGCACAGACAGTATGCACTTGCACTCACAGAACGACACGGGTATACTCGGCCGGGAAAGAGGACGAAAAAACATGAAGCAAAGACCTCAGCCAACCAACTTGCGTGACGCGCATGTGCACAAAACACACGCGCAACCAACCAGGCCAGCACATCTGTAAGCACCTACACCTGAGAAAGGCAAAGAAGCGAATAAGCAAGCTGTCCCGCAGCCAGATAGCAACAACTGACAAAAGGGTGGCGGCACCATGAACGCTACGCCGGGTTTTGAGGCCTGTTTGCCTGAGATGAGCTTGTATAGCTACTTACATTATCTTGGATGCAAAGAGCTTTTACCCTGCATGGGCTCTTTCTTGTTCGAACGGGTTGCACGCAGTTGGCAACAGAAGCTCCAACTTAAACATCAGAGCAGCAACAACATCTTGCCAGGTTCAGCCACAGACACCAACATAATCAAAAGATGGGCAGAGCAAAGGAGCGAGCTTGACATCAGCAACAGGAGCGATTTGCGTCATTTCTCTCCATCATTTGCAAATTTGTCGTCATCATCATCGCCATAAACATCTTCACCAGCTTTCTTCTCTGTCCATCCCCTTCTCATGGCCGCCATCACAATCGATACTGCTACAACAACTACAACTACAAACTACTACTACTACTACTACTACTACTACTACGACTACTACTACTACTACTACTACTACTATGACGACGACGACGACTACTACTCCTGCTAGTACTCCTACTACTCCTATTACTCCTACGACTCCTACTACTCCTACTGCTCCTGCTACTCCTACTCCTGCTCCTGCTCCTACTCCTACTGCTACTACTACCCCCGCTACTGCTATTGCTACTACTGGTGCTACTACTGCGACTGCCACTACCACTGCCATCGCAACTGCTGCTACTGACGACTACTACTACCACCACCACCGCCATCACCACCACGACGACGACAACTACTACTGCTACCACCCCTACCCCTGCCCCTGCCCCTGCCCCTGCCCCTGCTCCTGCTCCTGCTACTGCTCCTGCTAGCTGCTGCTCCCGCTGCTGTTGTTGCTGCTGCTGCTGGTGCTACTGCGGTTACGACACCGCTACAGCACCACTCCAGCACCACTACAGCTACAACCACTACCACCACGACCCCACGACTATCACAGCCACTTCCGCTACCACCACTGTTTTCACAGCCACAGCCACAGCCACAGCCACAGCCACAGCCACAGCAACAGCAACAGCAGCAGCAGCAGCAGCAGCAGCAACAATAAGAACAAATAGCAGAATAGCAGTAGGAGCACATCAGCAACAGAAGCTCAACAGTGGCCGTAGCAAAGCTAACATACGACGGCGAGGACGACGACGGCGGCGGCGACAACGATGTTGACTTTTTCGACAGCTCCAAAATACCCACAGTACCAACAGCCGCCAACAACAGAAGCAGGACTCTGAAACATGACCCAGGCAATCCGGCGATGATGGACTGCCCGTTTTACATCGTGTTCCTGCTGCTGGGTCTGCAGTGTTGTTCATCTTAGTCAGAGAACCTTTGCTAAAGCGGAACCAGTTGGAAATCCAATCCAATTGTGAATGTTCCAGGCTGGATGGTGTGGCAGGATCGCCTGATGCAGCCATTGACTCGATATTGAACGACCCGAACGTGGATTGGGATACAGCAATAGAGATGGTCGAGTTCATCGATAATTTTACGTGGCTTCATTACCTCCGCTTCCTCCTGCTTGGCCTCGCGGTCTTTGGGATCTTTCAGGCAATCAAGAAGCGCAGCAGCTAGGCCTTGGTTGGCGACTTGTTTGTCGGGAAAGCTTGAGCCTCTTCATTAAAACAGTTGACGTTGAACAACTCAGATCCACCAATCACACCCAGGAATGATGCTGAACGGGGAGTGTAAATCTTCATCCGCCTATGGGGCTCCACCCGCCTACGGAGGGGCTCCACCGGCATATGGTGGGGCTCCGCCGGTCGCTGTTGGTGCACCAGTGACGGTACCGCCCGTTGTGAAAGCCACGGTGGTCCAGGAGTCCAATGAATCCAATCAGGTTGCGTAGCTTCCGGCAGCTGATTTCATGATGGCCCTGTATGATGGCCAGCGAGTGTTGTACGAGCAGAGAAGGTCTCGCCATTCTGATTCAGGGTGATTTTTTAAAGTCATTGTAGTCGCTCTTTCTACGGACCCAAATGGGATGTAGAACCACTGAACAGTGAGTAGGTTTTGTACGAGCTAGCAGCGGCTCAAAGAGGGGCCCGTTGCTGCTGGCAGTGAAAAATGCTGCTTCGCTTCGTCGCCCTCCTGAGGATACTCATAAATAAACGAACTGGCACTTTTTATCATATTCACCATCAAAACTCTCACAGTGATGTCCTTTGAACATTAGCATTACTTACTTGTAGAAGGGAATGCTGACGGTAAGCCGGCAAGCCTACCAATGGCATCTCAAAGTTTGGAGGGCGCATGGGGAAGCCTTGAGCTTCTGGACTCTGGCCGCCCCGATCACAGGAGCTCGTGCCGCACGTGCCGCTGGCATCTTGCTGTCAAAGGCGACATGCACCACGATCTCGCCATGCTTGATGCATGCCTGATGCTGATTCCAATGGGCAAAGGCTCAGGCCAAAGAGCTTATGAGAAGAACGGATGCTAAAAGAAAACACGTGCAGTATGGTGGTGATTCTGCCTCCGTTTCGGCCCCATCATATTTTAATGTTTCTCGGCGTGGTGGACACCCGGCATCGTGGGTTGCAGGTGGCACCAGGCTGGTCTCAACAGTTTTGTGCGCTGCAGCCGTCAAGCTCACACGATCTACTTCCCAGTGCTGCGCGTCAACGCAATAGCCATGAAGCGTTTCCTCTGCCTGTTCTTGGTCTCGACCGTCCTGGCCACGGAGTGTCAGAGCCAAGCGAGGCAGGCTACTGTACGTTTGCCACAAGCTTGCCGCCTGAACACCACTTGTAAAGCTGAATTTGCAAGAGATCCTGATAGGTGTGCCGCTAAGACGGAGTAGCAGGCGCTCTTGGCCATTGCGGCGCAACCGACGTCTGGAGGGCCAATGAAAAAGTGGTTCTGGCGCCGCTTCAAGCGAACGAAGTTCAAGCGCAACGGGTACTATGGACATTGCCGATGCGTCCATGTAAATCGTATGTGGCAGCAACTTTACCTTTCTGTTCCCAGCGGAGTCCTACGAAGCCGCCTCGCTGCTGAACATGGTTCTCCCTGGGGATGCGGATGAGTTCGATGAAGTTTGGTACCCGGCAAACTTCACTGAGGAGGTTGAGCCGGATGGAGACACCATGGACTGTTGCACACTGCTACTGAAGAATGGGACGGCCACTGTGGATTTGTGGGACGGCAGTGGATATCCCTATCCTGGCGCACGCACGGAAGCGCCAGGGCCCAACTAGAATCAGGGCGATTGGAACATCGACACTGAGGCACGAGAATTCGAACAAAAAAGCCTGGAGCTTCTTTCAATTCCTTTCCTCTCCTTGAGCCTCAAGTCCTGGCTTACCGCTGCAAGGCCGTCGTTGACGACACCGACGAGGGAGACTGGCTTGCAAACACTCCAATCGAGGACTTCTGTCAAGACGGAGGCTACGAATCATAGTAAGCTCGAGGCAGAGTTTCCGGGGCTCCTTGGCGCACCGCTGCATTCTTTGGAGAGCTTTGTTTGTGGGTACTTCTCTCGATGAGGGTCCCTTTTGAGGTCCCCAATATAGTACGGCACCCTCATAAAAAAGGACCCCAACAGGGACCCGCAATTAGAGAACTACTTGTTCAAGTTCCTTGACAGGGCTTGAATCCGGAGCAGCAGTGTCAAAGACACAGCCTCCGCCCAGCAAGGCCTGGGTTTGGCCGTTCCACAGGAGAGGCGAAATGCCCAACTACCAACTCTTCTTATGCAACTTGCGCGAATGCCACATCAAGCTGGTCGTGATGCTCCTGCTATCTCCTGCTGATGATGATGGTTGCGACGGTGCTGTTTTTCTTAGTGATGATGGCACGGATGATCTTCACGATGACGACGATGATTATGATGATGGTAAGGCTGCCACCGCTGACGATTCGTGTTCTGGTGGTGATCATGGTGATGGTGATGATGATGATGGTGATGATGATGATGATGGTGATGATGATGATGATGGTGATGATGCAAACGTTAGCAATCTTTAGCAGCAATGCTTGATGACGGTGAAGGTGAGCATGATGCTAGGAACAGCTCTGATGGTCATGATAGCGATGGAAAGAACCGGCCATGATGATGATTGCGATGGTCGGCGATGATGATGGTCACGCTGCTAATGATAAGGCTGAAGATGAGGATGAAAAGCAGTAGGTGCAATAAGTAGATGATGATGATGATGATGATGATGATGTGGTCTCGATCAGTTTGATAGTCTTGAGGGGTCCCCACCGCTAGGTGAACCTCCTCCTCAACTAAAGTCGTGTTCGTGGCTTTCTTCCAGCCCTGGTCTTTTGAGAAGTCTCCACACAGAGCACCTTGAAGGCTCGGGGAGTGTCAAACATCCTGGCACCCTGATGATCTGATGTTGGTGAGCAGTGATGGTGTTGGGCCTGGTGGGTCTGCCTCCGATTCGGCCCCATCATATCATATAATATCCTCATGTTTCTCGGCGTGGTGGGCTTCAGGCATCGTAGATTGCAGGTGAGGGGACGAAAAGATGTGATCGAAGAAAGGCATTCTGAGCATTTAGGTGCAGCTTTGGGGCTATCAAGCATTGGCTAAGATGCGACAGGCAACGCGCTGGTTGACCGTTGCGATTGTCACACTAACTGACAACTTGCGGTTCTGGCATCGGTCCAAAAGACTCTAGGGCCTCCAGGTTGCCGTAGTGAGATTGTGCTTGTGAGCCCAGCTGGACTTTGGTCTGTTCGCCTGGCTCATGCCGGTTCATGCGGTTCTCTCACATGAAGGGCCCTTCTTCTTTGTCAAGGTCCATACTTTTTCCAAGCCCAAACGTGGAGAAAGCCGTCGCCGAGGTCGCAGAGCTCTCGCTTCTTCGTGTCCTGTACATCGCGGCGTCCTCAGTCGAGGGCTTCAGCCATGAGTCCTCTTTAAGTCGTGTTTCTAGATCAACTTGCAAGGAATCTGGTGGTTTGCAGGTGAAGTCTAGGAAGTCAGTGCACCCGACTTCTGGCAGACCCGGGTCGTGCGGCTCTTCAAGCTGACCCGCGCGTTGAATGCGGATCTCGGACAGCCGCGAGCCCAGCAGGGCAGCTGTTGTGAACGGCGGATGGTCTCTTGTGTCCTCGAATACTGACCACAGATATCAGCCCCGAGGCATATGTAAGCCGGTCTGCAATCTGCTGCACCAGGTTCAATGAGATCAACGACCTCTTCAAAAAGGCTTGTTGGCATCGCATCCGGCTGTATTTTGACATAGGTCGTTGAACGATTGAGTTCTTGGCTAAACCATCAGATTATATAACGGAACGGTTTTGGAGCTGGGCTTGGTTTCCGCTGTTGCTCGGGGTACACAGAAGATCCCACCACACCCACCCTAAACCCCAAAACCCTAAACCCCTAAACCCCCTAAACCCTAAACCCCTAAACCCTCTAAAACCCCCCTAAAACCCCTAAACCCCCTAAAGCCCCTAAAGCCCTAAAGCCCCTAAACCCTAAACCCCCTAAAACCCCTAAACCCCCTAACCCCCCAGTAACTCATTGACCCGGTTCCACTGAGACTCGCCTCGTTCAGGTCTTGGCGAACGCTGCTCCAGCGATTCTGATGACAGTGCCCTGCTAGGAGGAGCCATACTGGAGAATACTCGGTTTAGAGTTCAGGGCTTTAGGGCTTTAGGGTTCTAGGGTTTAGAGTTTTGGGGTTTTGAGTTTAGGGTTTATAGGGTTCAGAGGATGGATTCCGGTGAAGTGTACATTGGGATATCTGGACTTGCCGACTGTTGCAAGTCACAGAACACGTCTCCTGCCAGATGTCTTTGTGAAGTGCATCGGCTGGCGGAAGACCTGAGGTACTGCTCATCGTGATTGCCCTGTTCTTCTTCGGTACTTTCATCTGGTGCGCCCCCTAGACGAGTGAGCACATGCTCACAGCTGAGGCTGCAACTGCTGAGAAAGAGCCGCCTAAGGCGGGGGGCAAACCTTGGAGGATCCCAGTGAGACCCAATGCAACGGCATCATGCAGCGCAAGGTAGAAAGCGCTGTGAGTGTCTGTGTGGGTGGTTGGGTTTCAAGCTTCCTGTGAGGATCGCATCCACTGTGGGTCTGCATAAGCCGCCCTTGGAACCCCGGCTTTCCTCAACTCTGAAGTTCGGCAAACGCATGCGCCTCCTTCACGAGAGGGGCCCGGTCTATGGCAGTCTATGGTTGGGGCTTGGACTTTGTGGTTGCGGCCAATTCGACAGTCATCAGAGTTTGGGGGATTTATTAAAGGAATTTGGTCTAGGGTGTGGGTCCGCTTTGAAAGCTGAGTCGTCTGAGCTTTGCATGGTTTAGGGGTGGGGGCTTCGACTTCATCAAAGACAAACTCGAAGCCCTGGCTTTGGCCAAGGTTCTGCGAGCGTGGGGAGTGGGCTGGGAAAGACTCGCCTCGATACCAGGCTCTGAGCTTGAGTCCTTGCTGTCGGCTTCGTGCGTTTTAATGGCTTGTCTTTGAGAGTTTCATAGGGCTGTGTGGGGCTTCTACGGGGATTTTGTCTGATTGTTGTCAGGCTGAGTTCCTTTAGCGACTTTAGTGACTTGAGGTTGACGCTGAGATGCGGATGCACGGATCGCAGCGACAGGATGCAATGGAAACGTTCAGACAAGGAAAAAAGGGCATGTCGCCTATCTCTCAATAGCGTGACTCTAAAAACACACAATGTGTTGATTATGCGTGTGTTAACTTGGCCGCTCATGCCATAGCTCTTGGATTGGAGGCGTTGGTCATCGGAGATCGTGGCTCGGAAGCAGGCGCCAGCGTTTCACAAGTCACCCGTCAACACTGTGGGGATTGTGTGTTTCGCTCCCCGGCGATTGACAACACATAGCTGTTTCCAGTGCGTAATTAAGCTCCCTGACGAATCTCCAGTCCACGAATGCCGTGTTGCACTCAGAAAAAAAACTTTCAGCGAAGCAAGGGCAGGTGCGGCAGGTATGGTCCCAAAACGGCCTGCCATGCGCAGGGTCTTTCTGTAGGCGCTGCATATTTCGAGACCACGCACGACCAAGCCCGAATCCGTCATCTCTACTTCCTCCATCATCTCTCGCCAGGTGCATGGTTACGAGTTGCAGCGGACGGCCTCACCGAGGAGCTCAGCCAACTCGCTGCAATGTAAGTGTGAGTTTATCGGCTTCAGCCGCTTGTTGCATGCAGTGTGTGGAGTCTCGGACCTGCCAAGCTGAGCCAGATCATGTCTGGAGCTGTCGTCATCCTAGTAATGGTCAACTGCCTGCATGTCTGCTCAACAAATCCGCCGAGGTCCGTTTACATCCATTCCTGGTGCCTTCTGGTGGAATCTTGCTGAAAATTTGTTCTTCTACACACAAAAGGCACTACAACGTCAGTTCTCATGTGGAGCAAGCGAGGACTCACCGTAGCAAAGACTGAGCCACACCGGTAAGAGTCCGGTTGACAGCGACTTCTTGTTGGGTTTTCGACTCTCTCTCCCTAGACGAAGGCTAGGTGATCAGACGGCTGTGTTATGGAGGTTACCTGCAAAGCCTACCAGTGCCTTCGTTCAGAATATGCAGTATTCGCAGTTCGTGAGGCTTGGAATCCCTCGCAATCCTCAGCAAGCATGGGTCCTGCAGATCTCAGGACGATCGTCACGATCACAACCGTTGGCTATGGTGACCAGGCCTTGATGCTACCCTCGGAAGCCCTCAAGGGGAGGGAACTTGAAGCTGAAGATGACAGCCGAAGGCTGCTGGCGGTGCAGTAACCGGAGCGCGAAGTGACAAAGAATCATGTCCTGCCGGCCTTGCCTTGAAGTTGGGCGGCAATGATGCTCAAACAGCGCAGCTTCGTCAAAACATGAACTGACACCGTTCGGAAAACTCCGCTGGTCCGCTGCACTCTTCGCAGGTTCCGACCTCTTGGGTCGGAAAGACCGTGGGCTCCGTCCGGGCCTCGGACTCGGAGGCTGGAGGAGACTGGTCGCTGGGCAGGGCTGCCCGACTCTGCGGCGTAGGGTACCCAGTAGCCGCCCTAGCCGCCCCGAGCCCTCGACGCTACGAGAAAGCGATCATGTCGAACAATGTAGGAGTGTGTCATGACGGGTCTGTTGGCGTTACGAACCGCCAAGATGGGCCCCTCGTTAAGATCGAAGATTGTGCGTGTGCGCTGCTCTCCCAGTGATCTCGAAGTGCAGCTGAAAGATGGCTCTGACGCACTGCTATGTAGCTACGTCAAGCGTCCATAGTATACTGGGCTGTCGAGGTCAGGGCACTATGTCGAAAGTCCCTTTTCGTCAGGTGGCCATGCTCTACGGCACCGTCATCTTGGGCCTCCCGCTCTTCGTGGTCGGGGCGACCTTTGGTCAGGAGCTGCACGTCCTGCGCTCTCTTTGAGCTCCCAGAAGATCCCAGAGCTGCAAGGAGTACAACAGGCTGATGAAGGATGCCAAGCGGAGGCGACGCCTTCTTACGTTCGCCGGTCACACCCGGAACCCCCATCTTTACCCAAATAACGATCAGCAACCCCTAAGCACCTGGACTCTAGACACCAGAGATGGGCAGTGATCTTGCAGAGGGCTCCTTGGGGACGTCGATGCGGTAGCTGTCCCGAAGGCTCCGGTCTGTCCACAAAACGAAGCAGACCAGCCCATGGAGCCCTCCAACAATAAAATCAAAGCTTCTTCTGAGCCCCGGATCCGACAGGGAGGAGCTGAAGAGCGATCGCTCTGCCGGGAAGCATGTGCAGACCTTGGGACTCAGGTTCCAGCTGGTCATGTTCTGACGCGTGCAGGGCTTTTGCGTCGTCTTGCTTCAGCTTCTTTCTCAAGCTCCGTGCATGCGATACCTCCCGGCAAGACTATACAGCACGTTGCACCCAGGGCGCACCACTCCGCCACGCCGAGCGCACGGCACGGTTTGCAAAGGCTCCGCCAGGACATGTTGCGAGTTCCGCTTCGGGGCGACAAATGCTCAATTAGCGTAAGGCTTTGCTGACTTGTCCTAGAAGGAAGGGAGGGCGGCCTTGGGCATTTAAGGGGCTTTGAGGCTTCGTCAGGATGTTCGGGCCGCAGAGCGACTGTGGCATGATGCTTCGGGAAGGTGCCAAGGGTGGAGCGTCGGAGGTGGCATGTGTGTGCGTCTCTTCATCCCAACTTGCGCCACTGTGTCAGCTCCTTGCTGAGACACGTCTTCTAGGCTTCCACAATCTCGAACAAAAGCATTTTGGCACAACTGCAGAAGGAGCGCAAACGAGGATCCATTGAGACTACCTGCAACAGCCACACTTGGCAGAGCTTTACATGCTGGGGCCACTGAGCCGAACTTCCTTCCCCAGCAAGCAGTCCTACAGGCGTGAGTCTGATTCGCAATGTTTGCCTTAGCGGAAGTCTAGTGACATATTAGACCAAAACGTCGGTCGCAGTCTGGTCTGTTGGTGCATTTGGTGGCGCTGAAATAGCACGTCAGGACCTTTTGTTGACAGGTAAGATCTTCCTTCACACGGGTAGCTTTCATCGTTTGTTGCATGCAGATCGTGTTTCGGCAGACCTTGGTGTGGCAAGGCAAACATGAGCGTTCACTTCTGTTCTGCATCTCTTGACGAGAGTGTTAGTAAAGCCCTCTTGAGGCGCCGCCCTGAGCTATTGGACAGTAAAAATAATATTCTTATTCATAATACCAATAGTATTAATAATAAGAATATAAATAATAAGAGCAAGAAAAAGAATAATAGTAGTAATAATCATAGTAATGATAATCACAAAAATAACAATAATAATAGTAATAGTAATAATGCTAGTAGTATACTAGTAGTAGTAGAAGTAGAAGTAGAAGTAGTAGTAGTAGTAGTAGTAGTAGTAGTAGTAATGTCATGGTGTTGGTTCGGGTTTTTGCGCAGCTTGAAGGGATTCAGTCCCAAAGTTATTGCCATTTTCCTCGAGGCTACCGGCAACTTCATCGAGGAGCATGAGAGCCTGCGTGTGGCCATGAAGGCCTGGTGCTTTTGGGGTTTAGGCTTTGGGGTTTCACGGGCAACTTCTCGCATCTTCTGGCTTGAGCTTGTGATCCCCAAGACCGGACTCTGCGCCATCGGAAGGAGTATTGCCCCTTGCTGGGCATCCCAGAGGGCGTGGTCTGCAACTGGGAGGCCCTGCAGCTGTAGCCTCAAGCTCCACACCTTCAGACTTGCCGCTTCAGCTTCAGCTAAAGGGCAGGAGGGGGAAGGCGGAGAGCAGCAGGAAGCCGGAACACCAAGTGTTTTGTTTTTCTAGGTGCGCCTGAAACAAAGAAGCAGGGCCTGGACTCTGTAGAAGGATCACGGAACATGCAGGGCCAATGTCTGTCGATGAAGAGCCCGAACAACAATAGCCTAGTGACAGTCGCAGCTGTGCCCATAGGCTTTCTTCTTGATTCCTTGCTACCGTGCCCAACCGGAAAGCTTGTCAGCTGCCTTGCGGGTACGTCGTCCACTCAAGTCTGCAACGTTTCCTTCCGAATCTGCGACAACTACATGCAACTCCTCGCTACATCTGTGAACTGCAGAGGATTGGGGCCTTGCAACCCTGGCGATTCACTTGCTCTTCATCTTCACGACTGTTGATTCGGATTTTTCTCGTCGTTAGGAATGATCTTCACCATACTCGACTCGACAACCTTCCCAGATCCTTCAGCTCATCAACTGAACACCGAAGCCCAAGTCCAGGAGGGTCTCCGGGCCGCTCTCCTGGAGCAGTCACCCGCCACCGGCATGGATCGGCTCATGATCCGGGTGCTCGGGTAAACGGGTGTGGGGGAGGGATCAGCCTGCAACAGTCTCAGTGATCGGGCTTTCGCACATAGGATTGCACGACTTTGGGGTGATGAAGTGGCGCACCTGAAGAATGGCGTGCGCGTCCCCGTTGCCCATATCAGAGATCCACATGTCCGACATGTCCATACGACCAAGCGGTGTGCAACGCTGGTGGTAGGTGCTGCATTACTTGGCGGAGGTCGAAGAGTACTGGATGTTGAAGGCTTGGTGCGTGCGGCTGATACGAGAAAGCCGCAAAACACGGCATTAGACTTGCGACGTCGTCGGCAGTGTAAACCCAAACCCCTGAGCCCACATACTCGGTTCACGGATGATAGAGCGCCTACTGCGTTGTGCCATCGTCGGATTTGGGTGTAGTATGGACGAAAGAACAGCGCTCCAAACGCAACACCGCAAAGCACTTTGGCTCGTGACATTGAAACACCTGCTCGAGGCTTCTAAGCCACGAGCAGTTCCAAGTCCTGCAGAGGAGGCATTGCAAAAAGGGCTGGGTAGCAGCAAGCATCCGGATTTCTCTCTGCGGGGCTACTTAGTCCACGCTGTCGGATGCTGGGATGACTAGTCAGAAAAGAGACAAAGTGACACTCCATGGCTTCAGGTTGCTGTTGACACAAGCTCGATTGTGCTAGCGCTGCTAGCGACTACATGGCCGATGTTTCGGTAGTCCTCACACTTGTACATACTTGTATATTGACTCCAGATAGTATCTGCAAAGATAATCTAACACCTGATATTTCCTCCTCAGGACTCACGCAGTTGCCGACACCAAGATCGGTCCCACGACCTGTCCCCTGCCCCTTGGATGCATGCACCCAGAAAGCTCCACGTCAAATCACAGAGAGCTGAATGTTCTTCAGACACGCGCTGGACTCCGGAAAAGAGGGGGAGAGAGAGGGGAAACGGACGAAACAAAGGGCAAATTCGAGAGCTTTGGCTGGTCCCTTTGCAGGTGGACATCTCCCCGAAAGGCCTGTCGTCTCCCGCCCCCGCCTCAGCGCCGGTCCTGAGGTCACTGGCGACATGAACCCAGAAGCTCAGGACTCGAAGAGTTCCCGGTATCCCGACCGTGGGACTGACCCCACCATCGCCGCTCGGATGTCCAGCTTGGTCTCTGTGGTGTCTGTGAGGTATGGGATGGTAGGGGTATGGACACTCCAGGGGGGTTTTCCTTGACTCTCCTGAGAAGCACATCCACTTTTTTGGTGATCTGGGCCGAGTTTCACTCTAGTTGTTAAGCCTCGGACAACCCTGAGCTCTGATTCTCAAGACCGCTGCGTGAATCTCTAAAGCTGTTTGTGGGTAAGCCCCTGTGGCGCTTCCCCCGTCATAAGAGCGACTCAGGCCGTTCGACTCTCGAAGTGCCGAAGGCTTCGGACGATGTGGTACAGGCCAGACGGCCAGACGATGATGATACTTGTATGGGAATCTCGCTTGACGAATCATGTTCAGCCATGTTCAGATCATTCAGGACACATGCTTCAGTAATCGAAAGCAAGACGTCAGACCGCCGACATCATGCGTCTTGCGCATCGTCATCTTCATAGATAAATAGGATGCTTAATGCATCTGAAGATCCTCTCCACAACATGTCTCGTAGCATCGACCCCGTAATCAATAAACAACCTTCAAAACCACCAGGCCCCTCCAAAAAAGTAACCCTGCACGCCAAAGCCCTGAGCCCTGAGGCTGGCAATTACTGGGTGTCAGCTGGGCATGGTCCCCTCCGAGGTCTTGGCCAAGGCCCCTTGGCTGTAGTGAATCAGTCGAATCGCCCAATCACTGGAGCGTCCTAGAGACGGTTCAACAATGAATCTGCTTCGATGTTGACTACATTGGAACACAGCTGCTCGTGCGGTACTTGTGCTTGGGGTTCTGGGGTTTCGAAGCTTCTGCGCAGCTACAACTCAGAGAGAACTGAGAAGACCGTGTTCGTGTTCAATCGAGAGAGCATCGAGCTTTGTAATACTGTTCATGACGATTGCACGACTGTCATAGTGTCACAGAACTCGTATACGATCACAATAGTATGTAATTGTAACCTACTGTAGCACAGCTGTAACACAAATGATCCTTGAGTGTCGTGCAATGTGCAGACTGGTACCTTCCTAAACTCTGTCCCCTTCACCATCAGCCCCCGAAAGTCCAACAGCAATCCAGTACGATCGTCCGCAAGACCTCAGTAGCAATCGTCAAAGATCCAGCAGCGGTTCTCTTCGCAACTGTGCATTGCGGAGGCCTTGGCAGATTGCGGCGGCTTCTGCTCAGGCACATGCAAGGAAGGTTTCAAGCTCTTCAACGTGCACAGTATTGGGTGAGTCTAGTTCCCCGTGTTAAGCAAAAACCAGACTTCATGAATCAGAAGCACACAGCCATTATTGGGGACTCCAGCCTTGAGAACTCTGAGTCATGGTAGGGTTTGACTGCCCCCGAGCTCCTGGAGCCGTTCTCCCGGAAGGCAAGACCCGCAAGCGCTTCGATTCCCGGGACTCCCGTGGCTCCACGTCACCAACCCTGCGTCTGGTGGGGAGTCCAAGAGACAAAAGACTGCACGAACCCTGCGAGAGATTTCGGTGTGTTTTTATAGGGGCCTTAGTAACTACCTATGCTATGTTGGGGGGTTCCTTTGCAGCATAATGTACCCCCAAAACCCTAGCTATTCTAATTCTTAATTTAAAGGCCCCTAAAATATGACTCGCTTACAGGGTGGAAGTGTGCGGATCCTTCGCTCCTTTGCTTTTTGCAGAGGGTCTTTAAACGCAGGAGACCAGCCCGGTCTCGATTCAGCATGCCAGGAGCTCAGATTTTTTGTGGGTCCTTTTTTAAGGGGAGTTTTTATCTAAGTTTACCATAAATAATGGGGATCTATAGCAGATGATGTGGTTTCACAATAATGGGAACTAAAATTTGAAATTAGAGTCCCCCTAACAAGAACCCAGTCTTGCGCAGGGTTCGGGATCAGGGAGCATTGTAGAGTTGGAAGAACTGTCGTCGTCGGTCTTGGAAGTCGCGGCTCTGGCATTCGCAGGAGTAGTCGTCTTCCTCGGCTTCATGCCAACATACAGGTAGATCTTGACGGTCTTGCAATCTTGGTCAGAGGCGGGGGGAGCAAGATTGACAAGCAATCTTGGTCATCTTGCCCTGGCCGTTTGCTCGCCGACTAGTTTACCTTTCGGAGACCAAGATTGCAAGATTGCTTGGCCGTCTTGGTCGCAATCTTGCCGAGACCAAGATTGCAAGATTGCTTGGCAGTCTTGGTAGCAATATTGCCCCACTTGCTCGCCGACTAGTTTACCTTCTGGAGACCAAGATTGCAAGATTGCGTGGCAATCTTGCGTAAATAAGTGTTCTAAATTCCCGGCACACTGTGCCAGACTTAGAGAAAATGAAGCAGCAGTAGTAGTGGCAGCAGCGGCAGTGGTACTGGATGGTACTGGTATGTGGCGGTACTGGTAGTGGTTGTGGTTGTGGGAGTGATAGTGGTAGTGGCAGCTGTAGTGGTGGTAGTAGAGTGGTAGTAGGGAGGTAGTAGCAGAAGAAGAAGCCCGGAGGTCTTGAACTCCAAACCGTAAGCCCTGGGTTTAGGGTTTAGGGTTAGCAGCATCAAAGCTTGACTGCAGTGCGGGACTCTTTGTCAGGTTGAGGTCATCACACAGGTGCCAAGCTACGAGCTGCAGCAGGCACCCGGTCAGATAGTTGGTAATGGCATTTGGGACGGTCTTGATTTCAGATCCACTTCGAGTGTCCTTATCGTAGAAATTCCACTTGCCGCTTGCCAGGGTCTAGACTACATTCCTCAACTTTCTGACGCTCCTCTGTAGCAGATGACAAGGTGCAGGTGACGAGACAAGGCAGTATACGTTGGGATCATCATCTATGACAATCTATGATGACATTCCGGCGTACAGAATATACACACAAGATCTGCATAGGTGCGCAACGTGCCAAGAACTGTAATATGTGTTTGCGCCGCCTGCACTCCACATGTCTTGAGAAATGGATCTTGTACTTAGACGATAAGTATGACAGAGTATGTGGAGGTATATGCATGTGTATGCATTCGTGCATGTGTTCATGTATGCATGGATTTACGGATGTATGCATGTATTCATGACTGCATGAACGAAATGAAGTATGACATGTGCATGGGATGCGGAATACGAAGTGTACACATGATATCAAGTATGAATACACAGCGATGTTCAGTTCTACCCTCCATGGCAGACGAGAACAGTAACTGGTGCATGCCAGAATCACCGATCAAACTTTTATATTCATGTGCACGACTAAAGATGACCCGCTGGCTACAACAGTATGGCGGATGTACTGCTGGTATATACAGCAACTCAACTCACAGACAATGGTATGCATTCGGGAACGAGCAGTATGTAGAATGTATTAGCGGTTCCTTTTGCTGAGATACCTGTAAAATCACCTAGTGATGAGCCGGTTAGCGATGCCCAAGACTAGTTTAGGCACACAGATACGACTACGAGTGTAGGCCATTGGGCTCAATGGCCGTTTTGAGATAGATCGGTCGATCCCTCTACCTTTAACCCAGCCCTAAAACCTCTAACCTGATGGCTGAAGCCCCAGCCAAATCAGTGAGCTCTGAACCCTAAAACCCCAAGCCGTCGCTCGCTGCGCAGGTGGAGAAGAGGGTGGAGCTTCCGGTGGTGGAACTGCAGGAACTGTTCTGTTAGTTACTGTGAGTTAGGTGTCGGCTATTTTAAGGGTTATCTAAGCTTTGCCTTGTGTTTTAGGGTTCAGGGTCGGGAGGTCGTGTTCCAGTGTAGGAGCGGATGTTTTGGCCTACGGCCCGCACCTTTGCGCGGCCTGTGAATGCAGTTCAGGATTTAGGGTTCTTAACGACTTAGGGCTCCGGGTAAGGTCAGGAGCTTTCAGGGTTTCAGTGGGTCCAAATCCGGGCAGTTGACTTAAGAACAAGTCGCATCTACTCTGTGTGCGCCCCATGGGGAGCGCCACACTGCAGTAGGGACTCACGTTTTTACTCGTTTTCGTTTGACACGCCAGCTTCTCCGAAATGCGAAACCATGAACTCTGGACCCTGCTAGAAGTTTGCCCACATGGCTCTGCAAAAGGGAAGCCCCTAGGGCTCAAAGTCACCCTAAGCCCCTAAACCCCTAAACCCCTGAACCCTAAACTCCTGAACCCCCAAGACCCTAAACACCGCTAAACGGCTTAATTTTTTGTTGTTTTGGCTTTAGGGATGGGAAATCATAGTATAGTATAGTAGAGTAGAGTTTCGTAGTATAGTATGGTACAGTATAGTACAGTACAGTACAGTACAGCACAGTATAGTATAGTATAGTATAGTATAGTATAGTCTAGTATGGTGCAGTATAGTATCTTTCTTTCGTGAGGCCTTGTGCCCAAATCGAGCACGCCTAAGTGTGGAAGCCTACGGGTGTCTATATGCGCTAGCTCTGATTTAAAGGAGTTTCGCAGAAATCAGAAATTCCTGCGGGATGCACGAAGAGCCTAACCCGGCTGCTACGAGTCCCGCGCTCAAAACTCAAACATGCGAAGCCTAGAACACAGCATAAGCTAAAGCGCTACCAGAAATAAACCGGGGTTCTACTATGCGCGGCAGAACCCGCCAAAGCCGGCTACCAAGCATTGAAGGTCTTGAGCCTATTCCTCCAGGGGCCGAGGGTGGCAAACTGCAAGACCAAACCCCACATGGTTGTTTTAAACAAACCATACCCGCGCTCCGACATACGTGCTGTGTACAGTGACAGCGTATATACAGACACTTATGCCGAGCAAGCAACTGACAAGATATCAGTTCGGAGGGACCTGCAGCGATTGTCACGATTGTCGCTCCGCAGCTCAACCCCGGTGGCACGGTCGTTTAGGCAAAATGGCAAAGTAGATGACTTCCACAATGCACTGAGAAACAAGTCACATGGATCCGAGCTTACTGTTCTTGGCAATGGTCACTTCTTCGAGAAGTCTCTTGCTCCACAAGCCTCGACGGTCATCTTACCATCCGTCCAGAGATCCATGAGGCCATTTCCACAGTGTCCTTGAAGCCTCCAGTCGGAGTGACGATGAACGGCGTTCCCGCGCTCACATCTCCCAGCTGGTAGCAAGTGTAGTCGCGTCCGGCGAGAAGAGCGAAACACTCCACTGCCTTCCAGCTTGCGTAAAACAGCCACCGACGTTGCTCTGGGCCACGCAACCAGCGCTTCCAACACCAACCAGCACCATTTGCAGTTCAGTGTCGTCCGGCACTGCCATCAGCACCTCGAGGAGGAAGTCGCCGCCCATCTTGGCGACCAACCTCCCAGTGAAGCATATCAGGATCCAGTGTTGGCAATAGAGGTGCTTTAACCTTCTCTTGATTGCGTTTCTGCTGCAGCTGTTGTGAACGGTCAAGGAGTCCTCTTGGCCTCGGTGGCGAAGTCCATGTCACTTGGGGAAACTTTCTTCTCTACACCGTTACAGATTCCTGTGCAATGGCCCATCTTGAAGAGGACCTCCAACTCCACACACTCGAAAACTAACCGTCTCATGGCCTCCTCGATGCGTATGTGCCGATTGTCGAGGGGCACTAGGGTCCCTGGCTTTTGAAGCGGCTATTGGCCCCTGCTCATGGGGAGTTTGATCCCGGACGGTATAGTATGGTATAGCGTACTATGGTATGTCATACCATATTCTACAATATCACTGCCTTTTGCGGGTTTCTTGGGTTGCGAGCGAGGAGAAGATCGTGGAAGTGCCGCAGGCGGAGGTTATCGAGAATCCCGTGGCTGGCCTCAGTATATGTCTTAGAATGTTGTATGTATGTGAAAAAATATATGTGTATGTATATATACATACGCGTATAGATGTATACGTATATATTATGATATTGTAGGCTTTCTTACACATTTTTTTATCAAATTAGATATTACATGGCATTCTGTCATGTCGTTGAAAGCTTCTCCCTCGGCACAACCAAAGGCTCTGGAAATCCTGAACTTTGAAGATAAAAACTTTTGTTGCTGCATCATATCATGTTATGATATAGGCTCTAAAGAGAATAACATGTGCCAGAGAAGTATAGCAGACGATGAGATAGTACATCATTATAGATTTGTCCCCCTAAGACTTCCCCCAAGAAGCGAAGGCACGGGGAGGGCAGAGGGCAGGCAGTTGCGGGGGGTTTTTTCGTGGTGATTTCCAGGTGGAGGTCCCGGACATCGAGATCTGTGAGATCATCAAGCAGGCGTGGTGGTGGCGTGTTGGCGTGTTGCGTCGGTTCAGCTGTTTGTCAGGTTCCGAAGTATGAGATCCACTACATCGACAAAGAGGTGATCAAGCACCAGATCGAGTACGTGGAGAAGCTCGTGGAGGTTTCGGAGGGGAGCATTCGCCTGTCGCTTTTCGGCATCTGCCAGAGTCCGTGGAGATGATGGCAGATGCTCCAGGTTCCGCATGTGGTGTACGAAGAACGGATCATCGAGGTACCACAGGCTTGGCAACCTCGAGCTTTCTCTTTGTTCCATCCGGGACTCGCTGATTCTGGGGCTGAGGTGGAGAGGCGGGAGCTCATCCGCCACGTGCCTGTGAGCAATGCTGGCACCTCAGCCGGGGACGGAGCTGCCACTGTCAGTTGCAGATGCAGTTGCATAATTTTTTTTCCAGAGGTGCAGCTGGTGGACAAGAAGGACAGCCCGGCATGTTGCAGCGCCCGTATCGATTCCCTCCGAGTGCCAGTGGAGCCCTGAACAGGTTCCTAAGCACACGCTCCAAGTCACGGAGAAGGTGGTGGAAGTGCCGACTGCCGGGTTCACAGCACCAAAGTGTGCCTTCAAGTGAGCTGCAGTTCTGATTTTGGGGTCCCAGGTCTTGCACCAGGAGAGGGCCGTGGAAGTACCAGAGGTGGCGGTCGTGGAGACCATCACAGAGGCTGCCGGGCTGAATTGACTGCGACCATGTGTCCACGAGACTTGGCCCACAGGTGCCCAAAGTTCTGGTCAACTCCGTCCCGGTGGAGGTGCCCAAGGCAGGTGCTTTGAGCGACGCTTTTTGCGACCTTGTCAGGGCTTCAATCAGTCACGGGCTCCCGCAGGTTGTCAACGTCCAAATCCAGGAAAGACTGGAAGAGGCTCATGACCCGGAAGGAGTTGCCGACAAAGCTGGAAGCCCTCAAGCCGTCTGCTGTCGACGTAACTCCTAAGGTCCGAACAACTCTGATTGCCGAACGGGCCGTGGAGGCACTTGCATCACGGCGTCAGTCTGTCTTGCCCCTAAATCCTAAACTGGGGCGCCTTGGTGGAAGCCACAGCTTCCGAAGCGCAGGACCGACTTTAGAAACTTTAGAATCTTTAGAAGAAGAGGTTACCTCCTCACATTAGGATCATCAGGAGAGAGCTTCGGATCGTGTCTTGCTCCCGGTAGAAGCGATGCAAGGAGTATTGTGGTCAGGGTTTAGGGTTCAAGGGTCTGGTCCAAAAAGCAGCGGCTCACCGTCTGTCTTGCGCCTCTCTGTCATCCATCTTGACTAACGCCCCCTTACTCCTACACCGCGAAACCTGAGACCCTCTACTCCTCAACCTAAACTCCTCATCCCCAACCTTGCAACAGCTCTTAAACCCTAAGCCCTACAACCCCAAACCCTAAACCCCTAAACCCCTAAACGCTACAACCCCCCCCCTTCCCAAAGCCCTAAAGCCTAAGCCCCCCAACGCCCGACCACCGCAGGTGCCGGATCCCCAGGTCGTGGAGGCCGTGACCCAGGCAGAAGCCTCGGAGGAAGGGATTCCAGGGATCCAAGCCGAATCGGATTTTGAGGGGATTTCGGGTTTCGAGTTTACGGTGTCGGGTTTCGAGTTTAGGGTTTCGGTTATAGAGTCTACAGGGGTTGAGGGCTTAGAGTTTAGGGTTTGTGAAAGCTGGTGTCTGGGGTTTCGGGTTACAAGTTGTCGGCTTTTGGGGTTCAGGATTAGGTTGAGAGGAATGAACGAACATGTTTGGTTTGGTCCCGATAAAACAGAACACACAGCACGGTTGCGCTCATGGCCTGCAGGGCCCACGGAGGTGTCGGGTGGAGGCTCTGGGGACCAGTGTTCGGGGGGGGGCAACATGAGGAGGCACGGAGCTCTGCTTCATGCCTGTGCGCAGGCTGGGTGTCTCCCGTTCGGGGTCCCTCGGCCCATGCACTAAACCCCAAACACTACATGTTTGGGCTTCTGAGATGAGCCGATGATGCTTTGGGATCTCCGGCGACTGTTCAAGCCCACCTTGAAAGACCTGGGTCTCGTGTTCTTGTTCCGGAATCTCTCTGAAGTATCTCGCTCCGATATCAGCCCCATGAACTGGGTGTTTGCAGGGGATGTTGAAGTTGCCAGAACAGCCATGGCAAAAAGCTTCTGTAGTAAGCACATTCTGGTTTCTTAGCAAGATCCCAGATTCTCAGACTACCCGGAGGTTGTTCAGCCGGTCGTTCAGTACGTGGACAAGGCATCTTGACCCTTTCAGACTCGGAGGGGGGTGCATTTTCAATCGAGCGTTGAAGGGTTTTTGTCTCCACTGCGCTTCCATCCTTCCTGTCCCCGCTTAGACCCTCGGTCCCTCAATAAGAAATCCCCACTGAAACCAAGACCGGGAGGTTTCGGTTCAGGATCCGGGGTTTTGGGGCTCAGGCTTCAGGGCTTATCAGCAATTGCCGGGAGGGGCTGTGCCGCTGGTCCTGTAGCTTGGTTTTGTTTTTTTTCTCGAAAGCAGCGATTCTGCCGTGCCGGTTAGTGTTGCGGGAGCAAGCTTCGGTGCATGTTCTGGGAAGCCGGGATGTGCGGGGGAAGCCCATCCGAAACCCAAAGCGAGTCCAATTCTCGAGATTTGCGGCCACGGCCAAGGACTTGGACTTCGAAGCCGGGAGTGTGGGTTTCCTTTCTCTGACTCCGTAGAGGGCCCGATACAGCAACAGCATAATGGGGCCTTCACCTTGAAACCCTCAGAAAAAGCTGGGAGGAAGTGCCCCGCGTGGTCACGGAGCCCGTGGAGAGGCTGCAGGAAGTGTGGCAGAGGCAGCCGAAGACCTTTCCCCTGCCCCCAAGTTCCAAAAGTGCTGAATTCTGGATTCTAGACCCTACCCATAGGCCCCTAAGCACTTCCTTTATTATGCTTTATACTTAGAATCCAATAAGGTAATCCCAAAAAGGAACTACTTTGGGGCCTATGGGTAGACTCCTACATCCTAAACACCGAGAGGCCGCTGGTGGAGGAGGTCGCGGTGCCGGTGCCGCAGCTCCTGACCTACGAGGCTTTTGCGGTTTTCGGGTTTAGGGATTAGGGGTTTCAGGGTTTAGGATTTTAGGGTTTAGGGGTTTGCAAGGGGTTTAGGGTTTAGGGGTTTAGGGTTTAGGGTTGTTCCTCCGGGACCCTAAGCTTAAAGCTCTGAGCCTTGAACCGTGAGCCTTTGAAACCCTAAAGCCCTAAAACCTAACAGCCTAACACCCTAAAGCCCTAAAGCTTTAACACCCGAAAAGCCCTAAACCCTAACACCCTAAAGCCCTAAAGCCTAACACCCCAAAAGCCCTAAAGCCTTTACGTCTGAACCCCCGAAGCCTGCGGAACCCGGCACAGAGGGGGGGGGATTTGGCGCAAGAGAGCTGTGGGGCCCCCGAGCTTCTGGGTCACCGTCCTGGTTCCCATCCAGATCGGCCTCTGGACTGCGGAGGCCAAAACCCAAGAAACCCTACAAACCCAACAAACCTAACCCCAAACCCAACCCCAAACCCAAGAAACCGTAAACCCCAGAAGCCCTATAAGCCCTAAAACCTAAACCCCTAAACCCCCAAACTCAAGGAACCCTCTAAACCCTAAACCCTAAACCCCTAAACCCAAGAAACCCTAAACCCCGAACCACCCTGGAGGCGGTGCGCCAGGAGGCTTCCGAGGTCGTTCACGAGGCGATGAAGCCCGTCCCCAAGGCACGCAAACGTTCTTTTTGGGGTTTAGGGGTTTAGGGTTTTGGGGGTTTAGGGGTTCAGGGTTTAGGGGTTTAGGGCTTTAGGGTTTAGGGGTTTAGGGGTTTAATTTCCGGGATTTTGAGCTTCGGGTTTGGCGACTCAGTGGTTTGGGGCCCTTGGGCTCCGAGGTTCTTCAGGTTTCCTTCCTGCTTTTGAGGTTGCATTCCGTGGCGAATTTGGGGTTTGGGAACGGTTTGGGGGTTTGGGGTTTAGGTTTTTTCGGGTTTCTAGGGGTTTCGGAGAGCTGCCCAGGCTTGCATTGGTCTGCATGTTTCCGCCCAGAGCGTCTTGTCCATGGCTGAGCATCAGCAGCTTAGGATGCACATCATGGTCCGAAAAGAGAGGAGAAGGGAGCCCTGCAGCTTCAGTGAGGGCCTCAGAAGTCGAGAACATCGGCTTAGAGTTTCAGGGTCTGCTTATCAGTCCCCAAGAAACCTAAGCCCTAAACCCCATAAGCCCCAATTTCTAAACCCTCTACCGCAAAGCACCTAATAGCCCATTCATAGTTATATTAAGTACATAAAGTATATTAAGTACATTATCTATTCGCTATAATAGTTATATTACTTGAAGTCAATGATACTACTAGGCTCAAAATCTTCGAGCCCCTGCCTCTCTTGCGCGGCCTTTGCGATGCTTCGGAAGCTTTTGCCGCTCTCGCGCGCCTGCCGGACGCTCCCCGGGGGCCGAGGCCTGGTTCGGGCGTGATCACATGGTGCGCATAAATATAGATATATAGATAAAGTATAGATATAAACAGCCAGAGTTATTACTACAAGTACACAGGTAAATAAGTACGAATAAAAATACATAAAGCATATATATATATATCTATCTATATCTGTATTTGTATCTGTATCTATATCTATATCTATATCTATATCGATATCTGTATCTATATGTATGTATGTATATATATATATATGTGTATACATACACACATACATGCACGTATGTATGTACATCTGTATGTATGTATGTATGTATGTATGTATGTATGTATGTATGTATGTATAAATATATATAAATATAAAAAAATATAAATATAAATATAAATATAAATATCAATATCAATATCAATATAAATATCAATATCAATATCAATATAAATATAAATATAAATATAAATATAAATATAAATATAAATAAATAAATATATAAATAAATAAATAAATAAATAAATATATATATATATATAAACATACGTATCTTGTCATGGTGCCATGATGGTCCTCTGAAATCCGACATTTTGTTCTACTGTGTGTCATTTGGGAGCTGCGTACTTCAAACATCCTGCCTTAGAGCCTCAAGCGGCACTTCTTGTCGCCAGGCCTGGCGTTGCCATGTTCTCGTCTGGCCCCGGCTGTGCGCCTGATGTCGACGCCAGCAACCACTGGCGCGTCGGCAGCGAGCTGACTGATGTTGGAGTTCAGGATTCACGACGCTTTATGGGTAGGGCAAAAGAAGCACGTTGCCCTGCTTGAATCCTTGCCCTTGCACGCAGCTTGGTTTCTCTTGGAAGGCTGTAGCACACGCTTCAGGGTCTTGCTGATGCTGAGATGGGCTATTGGTGCGGTATGTGGCAAGGTTGAATCACAAGACGATGCTGAAGCCTCTGTCGACATCCACCGCAAGAGGCACTTCCGAATCTGCAGAGTGCTTCTGGAGGTTCAATGCTGATGCAAAGAAGCCAAGCCCTGTCGTCTCGGCCTTCAACCGGGCGAGAGGTTTAGGGTTCAGGGTCGGGGGGGTTAGAATCTTAGAAGTCTGGGCCAGAGGGCCCGAAAGCTTGGTCCTGGCGCAAGTACACGTTCTGGAGGTCTTCAATCCTGAACTTAAATTCTCAGCCCTACCCTAAATCAAGAGACCAGCTCCTTAGCCCGAGCCCTGATTTCTCAACCAGCGGATTTTGGTTTTTTTAAAGTCCTAGTGGCTGTCTGGTTATCATGAAGCTGCAAATTGGGGCACTGACTTTGAGAGATTCTGAAATACTGGACCCGGTTACCACAAGGGCTCTAGACAGCCTTCTACACGGGTTTATGCACCTGTTACTACAAGGTTTGCCACACCCCTAGACCCCTAAACCCCTAACCCGCCAACCCCTAATTAAACCTGAAACTTAAAGCCCCAAACC